CGCTCACAGTAACACGTGGCCTAACACGTCCGCTAACCCTAAACCATTATCGTGCCCTAACCTGTAGGGGGGGGGGGGGGGGGGGGGGGGGGCTATAGGAGGAGGAGCAACCGCCTCATACCTGCAGGAGAAGAGACGTCCACCGCTGGGCGGGGGGCGGGAGGGAGGGGTGGCTGTGTGTGGGGAACGAGGGCGACTTAGATAAAGCCCTGAGGAAGGAGGAGGTGAGGTTGGGTAACAGTCTCAGGCTTGAAGCGCTGGGGCTCTGTGAGGGTTTGGGGGTTGGGGTGTGACACCAGCAGGAAGGATGGAGGGCAGAGCGGCTTCCTGTCTGAGAATCCTCAGTTTGATTGAGAGCCATAGAAGGGCAGAGGCCCCACCCTCTCCCCGCTCCCCTGCGGTCAGTGGTCAGGCGGCACTCTGTGGAGCTGGAGGGAACGGTGAGGAAGAAAGGGTAGAAATGGGGGCAGAGCAGTGATCACGGCCAGGACCAGAGGCTCCCGCCCCTCAGACTGGGCCTCCGTGAACCGGCAGCCAGAGTCAGGAGCTCCACAGACCCAGAGATGAGTCCCGCCCAGCTGCTCCAAGCCCTGGGCACTCCTCCGCCAGCCTACAGGCTGCACAGTCCCATGGCCATCCTGGGCCGAGGCAGACTCGTGCTAGTCTCAGCAAGCCAGACATGTATCCAGCAGGACACTGGGCTGGATGGGGTCAGAGCCCATGGGTGGGTGGAGTTAGGAACCGCCCACCTCCAACTTCTCTCTTTGCACTGGGAGCTGGGAGCCTGCCCATTGGAGCTGAGTGGCGCGGTTCATGCTGCAGTTGTCTTTACCAGTGTGCTTAGGGCCAGACAGGCTTCTAAAGAGGAAAGGGATGGTGGGGCCCTGATGACCCATCATCCCCAGTGATGTTTGCAAACATACAGTCTTGTGGGCAGCATGACTCTGCCGAGCCAGGTGACAGAGGGCCGGAGGGGAGTATAGACTCACAAGCTGCGTAACTATTAGGTGTAGGTCCTTGGAAGGATGTGGCACACTGGGGTTGATGTGACAACTGTGGAGGTGAGCCTTGGGAACCGCTGACTGATCCCAACACGCTGGGGGGAGGAGATGGGCCTCTTCTCTCTCCCCATGAGGACCCATCCTGGATTGCATGTCACAGAGGACCCAGCAGGGTCTGTGGGGGTGGGCACAGGTCCAGAGCTGCAGGCTAGGCTGCTCTATAGGAGGGTCCACACTCTGGGCTAAGTCTGGCCCAAGATCTGCAGTCAGGCCCAGCAGGCACAGAAGGGGCAGAGGGTCAGGGTTAAGGTTGGTGGGCTGATGCATCCAGGGCCCACCCTGCAGCAAGTGGCAGTCAGTGAGTTAGGGATAGCTGAACTTAGTTGTGCAAGAGGCTGAAATTTTCACTACTAAAACCAGTGGAGGCTTAGGGACATTGTCTGGCCTTATTTCTACTCTTAATCTGGAAAAATCTGAGATACACAGGGTATATGTACATGTGTGAAACTAGGACAATTAACTGGAAAACTAATTTGAATAATCTTGATTTTCCAAATAAATAGATTCCTATGATGCTGAGTAACCTTGTCTTGGGCTCTACCCTTATTGACTTCAGAGAAGAGCTGGTTGCTGAGGGCCCTTGTCAGGCGACCCAATAATCTTGGTCAAAGGAACTATGAAGCGACCATGTCAAAGAACCCACCTGGACATGGAGTCTGGGAGCACAGAGATCCACCCTCTGGCCTGCCCCGGGAGCACAGCTGGGGCCTGTCCCAGGTGGCCAGGAGTCAGACCCTACAGGGTCTAAATGTAGCTCTCACATCCACTTGGGTACTTGGTTCTCTGGGACAGCAACTGGGCCACACAGACCCCACAGGCTGTGGTCCCTCCAGCTCTGAGTCCACTCCACCCTGCTCCCGCCATCTTGTCCCACCACCACCATGACACTGGAGCTGCCTCCAAAGGCCCTGACTCCTGTGCACACATTGTATGGCCCAGCTCAGGAGACCTGTTGACCACTAACAGGCTGAAGACACAGAGCCAGTTCTCCAGAAGTCCTCCACTGATGACCCCTTCCTTCTCTGACCACCCACAGAGTGAGTCTGTTTCTCCCAGGTTATATCTGAGTTTCCCTTCATGGCTCATCCCACGTGAATCCTACTAACCTATCCAGAGCTCCTGGAGAATGTGAACAGCCAGGCACTGGCCTGGGCCACCCCGTTCTCCTGAGTCCCCCACAGTCCTGCGCACAGCCCCGTTGTGGCCTGGGTGCCAAGGGATGACTGGGGGCATCCTTGCTCCTTGATGGCTGCTGTGGACTGAACTGTGTCTCCCCGCAAATCCATGTGTTGAAGCCCTAACCCCCAATGTGATGGTATTTATGGATGGGACCTTTGGAAGATACTTAGGTTTCTTCCTAAGTATCTTCCTAAGTATCTCCTTAAGATGAGGTCCTGAGGGTGGAGCCCTCATGACAGGATTCGTGCCCTCATAGGATGAGGCGCCAGAGTGCTTGCTTCTTCCTGCCCCATGCACGGAATGGGAGCTCCATGAGGACACGGTGAGCAGACAGCCCTCTGTAACGCAGAGAGCCCTCAGCAGACATCAACCCTGCTGGCACCTTGATCTTGGACTTCCAGCCACCAGAACTGTTGTGAAAGCCAACAGGTCTGTGGTATGTTGTTATGGCAGCCTGAGAAGGCTGATTCAACAGCCATCTTCTGCTGACCCAGAAGCCACCCACATCTGGGCCACATCCCCTCAGGGGCAAGGACTGACGCTCCCTTGGAATATTGGCCCACAGGGAGCATTTGCATGGAGAATGCTGGTCCACCAACTGCATTTGCCACTATATTCCTACTGAGTCTCTCTCTGGGGACCCTATGAAGCTAAGAGTCACTGTATGGATGCTACGTAGCTGCTACAAGATACTAATGACATTTGTAGTGAGATAACAGCCTTGTTACCACAAATAAACAGTGATTGCACAGATGCTTGAAATGGCTGACACCTGGTGGGCACCTGTAGAGACTAACAGAGGTTAAAAAGGATTCTGTTGAGAGATCAGTGAGGAGAGAAATTGAGAAGAGCAACCGTGTGGGTGTGAGGAGCGTCTAGTGTGCAGAACAGTCTCGAGAAAGGGGCAGGGACGCCCCTACGTAGGAACTACGTGGGGATGGTGATGATACCCACACAAGACCACCCTCCATCGACCCTAGAGGGTAGGCTGTGCTGTGCACAGTGACCTTCCAGGGCCACCGTGAGACCCCACTGCAGAGGGGGGAGAGGACTTGAAGACCCACAGAAAAGTGCCACAGAGATATTTGGGGGGGAACAACCCCTGAAACTACTACTGCAGCTGCCTCTGGCTTTTTTCCACCCAGAGCCAGCTTCTCAAGTGAGCCCAGGACTCAGAGCCGAGAGTGGGCATTTGAGGGAGAGCGTATGGCAGGCGGGTCAAGGTGGACGCGGGAGCTTGGGGTGGAAGGACAAACAGACGCCC